GTGCCGTCAAACGAGTCTTGTCAGGCATTCAACACATTTCAACACCCAGCAGCGACAGCTTGTCATCTCCAAAAGCACTATACACACAATTCGATGAGGGGACCTTATCAGCATCGGAAGGGTTTGCTTGACCATGCCGGGCGACACCTTGGATTCCCCTCAACCAATACGGACATCGCTCCAAGGTACACGGTTGGCCTTGCACATTCCATGAAGGCATTCAAAGCAACAGAAGCATGAAGTGCAGCGATGAAGTAGAGCGGTACAAAAAGCAAACAAAAACCTTTCTTCAACGACTCCGGACTCCGAACTGTGCTCCAGCACGAGAAAACACTATGAACTTGAACTATAACGCGGTGGTAAAGGCCACACATAAGGCAACAAAAAGCGCTCGTGCAACTCGGAATGAAAGCAATGCCTTGGCAGGGTTCTGGTCACCCAAGCGCACATCGCTCCAATGTGGTGGCAAGTCCTCCGGATTGGGCAGGCAAAGGAAGAAACGGGTTGAGGAATCACAAGTGATGAGCCTCATGATCCATGTGCAGCTAGCTGCGGGGCTTGACAGCAGTTTGATGGGAAAAAATTGTCCAACCAAATTATGAGGAAACAAACGTCTTCCACGGTGCAAATCAAAGTCCAAGGATATTAAGCAGGGTGTAGCACAGGGAAGTGGAAGCAAGTGCTGGACTCGCTGGACACTTTTCTTGAAAAGGTATATAATGCCAAATGTCACAAGGTTCTTCCTCGCTCCCATTCATGCTAAACTAGTTGCCCAACCTGACCGGCCGGAACAAATCAAATCGACATGAAACATGGTACCTGGCATCTGCGTAAACAAATCGCCCAGTTCGCAAGCAAAGTTGTCACCTGTTCTAACCAACAGCGGTTTTCTGCCTCCGCATACCGCCGGCTGCTAGCCGGGGCGCGCTTCGGCGCCGGCCTCCGTTTGTGCTTCGATGCTCCAAAGAGCTACAATTGGGACAACTTGTCACATGAAAATGAGTTCGTTCGGATGTCTACACCTTCAAGGTGAACCACTTGTGGGTGCCACAGGCTGCAAGTGAAAGAAAATTTCAAAGTTGTTGTGGGTGTACGTTGCCGGCCCCCCTGTGCGCACCACAAACAAATGCCATGTCACCCTTGGTTGGAAGATCTCTCCCTTACTCATGTCACCCAGTTCGTGCCAAGGGGTTGTCCACGGGAGTGCATCTGGGCCCTCCTACACTGAGGTGCGGTATGAACTGCCCCTGGCGATCAGTGCGAAGGCTAACGGAGACTGCTGTGATTCCAGGTGTTCAGGAATAGTTCAAAACTCTGGGGAGTGCTGCGCAGTGCGTCCCGGAAGCCGTGTGCACAGCTCGTCTCTGGAATGTTGCCAGGCTACTCACATCCAGGAAGGCATCACGCAATGTGCAAAGGCACGCGAGGGACGTGCGGGCGTACAAGCACCAGTCAAACCCTCGCATTCACATATGGATCAGCTTCAAGGGAGCCGCACTTGTAGAAAAAAAATTGTACCAGCGCAGGCCCCAAACACTTTTTGCGTGTTTTCGAAGTAAGGCACAGAGACGAACTGTCCAACAGTCAACGGCTCAAACCGTTCCAGCTCGCGGCGATCAACTCGGACCTCCTGGGTTTGTTTCAGCACTTGGCTCAATTGGTTCAAGGTCAGAAGTGGCAATTCAAACGAAAACAGGACATACGCAAATCTATAGAATATGCTGACTTGTACTGACACCTGGCTTTATTACCCTTTGCCTTGCTAAAAGATGTGAAACGCTTTCAACCCACCATGGGTTTGTGAGGTTAGACAAAAAGGGAGGCCAGTGAAGCAACAAGGGAGACAAGCAGGGGGACAAGTGGAGACAAGTGTAACAAAAGCAGAAAGACCATCAGGGAGACAATTGGAAAACACGTGCAAAATCATCCACCCAAGCGTACCCAGAGTAGGCCGAGACAAGTGGAGACATGTGAAACAAGAAGGGAGACAAGCAGAGAGAAAAGTGTAAAACCATCCAGCCGAGAACATACAAGCATGGAGAAAAAGCAATGGGACAAGTTGACAAGTGGAGACATACGGCCATGTGTATCCAGAGTAGGCGGAGACAAGTGGGAGACAAGTGCAACAAGAAGGGAGACAAGCAGGGAGGCAAGCGGACACAGGTGTAAAAACATCCGGCCAAGTTTATCCAGAGTAGGCAGAAGAAACATCAGCCGAGGAGCGTTCATGCGGCCCAGAGGGCCCAGAGCGGACTGGTAGACAAGGGAGACAAGTGGGAGACAAGTGTAAAATCATGCGGCCAAGCGTGCTCGAGACAAGTGGGAGACAAGTGTACTGGGACAGAAGGCAGACAAGTGGAAGACAAGTGCGAAATCATGCAGCCAGAGCACCCAGAGTGTACTGGAGACAAGTGGAAGACTTGAGCGGGGAAACACGAAAGGTAGAGACGGACCGGGTAGCTGTTGGGACCTTTTCTGGTGAGGAACTGTCTCCAGTGTTTCAGGAAAGTTCCCCTTAGTCAGTCATGGATGAAACCAACAAAGCCAAAGAGCACAAGAAGGCTCAAGAGGAACACCGTTGCGATCAGATTGCGGCACCCGGCTCTGCAGAGAGGCTGCGTTGCGTCGACGCTCGTTTGTGTAAAGGTGTGTGAAAACTTAACCAGCTATGGTCCCACAGCTACACGCACTGTGTCAGGATTGCAGGCCTGCACGCGTCACGCTATGGTGGGTGGCTGATGGAAAGGGTGCATAATAGTAAATAGCTGTGTAGTGGTGCTCCACGATGCGGTAAGATGTCGCCACGCGAGGGTAGAAGGCTGAGTCGAATGGTGCTCCGCGAAGCGACAGGTTTCTCCACAGGGCTTTGCAGAGAGGCTGTGTTGCATCAAAGCTCGTTGGTGTCGAGCAATATGGTCTGTGAACGCAGTACGCGCTATGTCAGGCTGCCGGGCGCGCACGCGCAGCATCGAAGCCGCATAGCGCAACCTCATTGTGCAGGGTTCGTGCTGTATTGCGCAACCTCATGGCCGTACTGCTGTGACTGCTACGCGCATGACTTCACCTTATTCACCTTATGGTGTGACGGTGCGTCCAGAATGCTAGTAGCGCTGGCGAGGGGAGGGGATGGGGAGGGGAGGGGAGGGGAGTGGAGGGGAGGGGAGGGGAGTGGAGGGGAGGGGAGTGGAGGGGAGGGGGGGGGTGCAAAACAATTGATTTATCAATGAATCATCACATGGGAGGGGGGGGTGGGGGTGTTAGACATTGATCTACCAATCTTTAGTCCCGAGCACAGTCCCTTTGCTTCGCAAAGCAAACTCAAGGTAGTCCTTACCAGGCTACCTTTCGTGACAAGTGTGAAAATCACGCGGCCAGAGCAGCAGAGTGTACTGGAGACAGGGGAGACAAGCGGGAGACAAGCGTGCTGGGAGACACCTGTAACATCATGTGGCCAAAGCAATCGCAGTGTGGCAGGAACGCAAGCCCGGAGACAAATGTAAAATCATGCGGCCCGGGCATGCACCCCTTTCAAAGGAGTAAGAACCCCTGACAGGTAAACCTGTTTGGGGGAACTATATTACATTTACATAATATATATAAAATATTATGTAATTATAATATAAGAATCTCCTATATAGAGCAAAAGCTAAGGCGTTCCATGGCCATGTACTAATTGCTGCCATTCAACTTGCAATCCTAGGCACACGTATGCTGACTCTACATATACAAGTATCCAGAAAGACCCTCCTCGTGCGAAATCTCACTTGAGATGAACCTAGCACAAACAAACGCACAAGCCGCACACTTGCTTTTTTGGAATTGAATTTCCGGAGGTTCCGGTGGTGAGCCGCTCTTCTGGCCGCTAAGCTGATGCGGAAGCTCGGGCGGTCCGGTTCTATAATAGTAATAATTAGGTCAGACGCCATTTGGATGTTCAAAAGCTCACATGTCCACATATCAGTTTGCGTGTATTGTCACCTAGGGCCAATATAAAAATATCTCGAGATATATATATATACATACACGCGCATATAAACAAATAGATTGCCTCTTCCCAAAGACCATGACCTAGGTTGGAGGCCATCACCAGTAGGTTGGAGGCCGTTGGTATTTGTTCGAATGACAATTTTCTTCAATCTCCACTTCCAAGCATGGCTCGTACACCTTGGGTTGAAGATTGCACAAACCTATGTTTAGCAGGCTTGCGCTTATGGCACAATGAGCAATGCAGTAAGTACTCAGCCGCTAGCCGCTAGCCGCTAGCCACCAACTGTAGCCACACACCAAACTGCCCATGTACACTTCCAGCTTCGATTACGACCCTTCGTCTGAGGGCAGCTGAAATGGCAAACGCAAGCCAAACTCCACGTCCACTTGTTGTCTCATCTTTGAAGGACTGTTGCCGTCTTTCCTCTTGATCGGGTGGGGGCATGCAGCCCTCAGCAAGCCAGACATGGAATGGACATGAAGTGACTGCTGGCTCCCCTAACATTCGAATACAATAAATGTCTAAAATCGGCGCGCAAGGCTGGTGTCCTTAAAACATTCACAGGGCTCAGCGCATGTTTCCAAAGAACCCTGCATCTTCTGCAGCCTGTTGCATGAAACCTCTGGCTTCAGTTCGTCCGAAGGACGGACAGGATCACTCCTGGTGCAAATCGGGACAGGAGGTGGCATGTTATGGCGTGTTGATTGATTGCTGGCATTGCTAGCCGATCCTAGCTGCTAAAGCTGGCCTGCATCAGTTGGCACACAACATGACCATGTTGGGGCAGCTCTGACTCTAGGGAAATCAAGGACAGTAGAAAGCGATCTCGTGCAATGCACGTCCAAGACATGTTAGTTACAGTCTGATACGGTACGCATTATTTTGTGACATGCCATTCCGCAATTCCTCACAATTCATGAGACCAGGCTAACGCCAACCGTGATCAGTGATAACCAGTCACTCTCATTATATAACCCCACCGTTCCTATGCCCCTCACGTGGCAGACCTGACTCAGTAGGCAACACCATGCTTCCGGAGCAATGCTTCCGCTTCAGGCTTCCAGTACTCCTTAGAGTTGGCCGCTAATTCATTTTTCCTAGGTTTGTCATGTATGTATATACCAAACGTATCGGACCACTGACATGCGGCAACCATAACTTCAAACTGCAACAATCTTGTTGGGTGGTCGAAATGCCACTTTGAAGGAACAATTGTTGTCTCATGCCCAACTTGCGTGGTAGACTCGCACAACATTTCGGACAACGTCAACTTGAAAGTTTCTTTTCCACACGTGCCACCCCTCATTGAAATCCTCGAAGGATTGCTGAAACCAAGAGTGCAAACATGGCCAGAAGCAGTGACGCTGGGATGTTCCCAATGTTCCATGAACTCGCTGTGGACCTCTGGGTCTCGCGATTCTCACTCGCTGACTGTGCCAGGCTCGAACTGGGTGAGGGCCGTGAAGGTGGTGGGGCCCCTCGGGCAGGGATCGCCCGAAGCGCCCCGCGAGCTGCAGAAGCTTCGCGTGAAGCACGTGACATGCCAAGCATGGCATCCAGTGGTGGGAGGAGACCACACAGGCTCAAGCCGCACACGGAGAAGTAGGAGTGCAAAAGATCAGGTACTGGTGCTTCAGGGAACTTCTGAAAGCCTCCGAGTCTGGACTCACAGGTCTGCAAGAACTGAGCACAACTTTGGCACTCAAGGAAGTCCACCCCTAGGAGTTGCAGGGTGCCACCAACCCAAAAGGAGTAGCAACTGTCTGGATCCTTCTCAATGCGGCCCTGAAAGCCACTCAGCTGACGTGCAGCACACCACTGCACCAGTTTTTCCCTCTCTGGCAGGTTCTCCAAGCATCCCATCATGGCCAAAGAAGCAACTGCACAGTAGCTGCACCCTCCGTGGGATTCAGTGCCTGGGCCCATTCCGAATGCTCCATCATAGGACCGGGAAGCCAGGATGAAACGGGACATTTTCTCCACATCCACTGCATGCCAAAGATCCAGAATATAGCAAATGCTAGCAGCACAATACACAAAGCGGATATCACTTTCACTATCCAAGCTGGAAAGACAATTCACGCAGCAGAAGCTACCATCCTCCAATTGCCATTTCCGCAACGATGCCGCCACACCTGCCCGTGAGACGCGGTTCAGGTCATCACCCAAGATCATCAGCATGACCAAAGCCACATAGGTATTGGCAATGTGAGGCTGGTTGTTGGCCTTGTCCAAATCTGTGGTGTCGAAGGACACCTTGGGATAGCCATAAAAACCGCCATGATCCTCAAACGAAGATTGGAACGAGTAAATGTATTCAATGGAAGCTTCGCGATCGAGCTCATCCACCTTGCCTAGCAAATCAAGTCCAGAAATGCTGAAGTAAAGCAGTGTCAAGCGATTTGTATCCATGCTCTTGTAGTGCTCAGGAAGGTATCTGGCATGCTTCTTGAAGTATGCGACATGCCTAGTGCAATCAAAATCCTCGATGGTGAGAGGCCCCGTCGCCATGTTCTCTCAGCACTTGTGCACCTAGTAAGTTCAAGTCCAGCACAATTGGTGGGGCGTATAACCTACACGCTCGTGGCTGCTCATGCGTGACCCCTGGAAACGTCCAAAATATGCCATTGCTCATGGTGCTCTTTTCTGCACATGTTAGCATTTAGGGCAACAACTTGCTCAATCCCAGAACCAAAGCTTGAATTCGACATTCTTGCCCGGCAACCGGCACATGTATATAAACTTTAATGAAAGACGCTGCCTCAAATTCTAAATGGCATCGGGCATTAAAAACTCTGATCGAGGCAAGCCATGGAGTATGAGGTGTGGCCTGGTTTGTCTTGTCCACGACTCTTTGCTCCCATTCGGATGGCCATGCACACATCGCACTTGTTTAACTAATTGAGCAAAGTGTATGGTATGATCGTTGGAGATACCGGTCTCACATGGATTCCAAAGTGGCAGCGTGCCAAGGCTCTGCAGTGGAGAGGCGGATGCCGAAGCTCAAAGCCAGGTTCCGGATCATACACGAACATCTCATTACCTGCACGACTGGAAGCTGGCAACGTTGGCAACCCACTCATCCCACCTCGTATGCGCCTGCTCTGCACATTTGGAACCATGGTTTAGCCACGGCAACTTCCCCTTAAGACCTTAAGACCTCGCTTTGTAGTCTATCAATGTTCAATACCTTAAGGTTCTCCAATTCCGGACATGTGGAGCGCAACACATCCTTTCGAAGCCCCTCCATTTGCATCAAGCGACCAAGTGGAGATCCCTTGGCATCTCCAGCAAAGGATCCTCCTCTTCAGCCCAAGCCAGGAAGTTGTGGAAGGATTGCCCACCAGTGACATCATCAGTGTCACGGTCCAACCAGAAGGTAACCACACGGTACCTGGCAAGTCAGTAGCCATGTCGCACTTTTGGAAATTGACACATCTGCCGTGGGGCAAAGCCTGTGAGAGCAATGTGGCGTGTAGAAGGCAACGAATACTCATTTGGGCAAATCCTCAATCATGCAACTCCTTGGGCCTGTGCCTTCTTTCTACTAGGAACAAGGACGCTACTAGGGGCACCTGGCATCGCTACTAGGAGCAAGGACGCTACTAGGGGCTTCTGGCCTTACTGCTAGGAACAAGGACGCTACTAGGGGCTCCTGCATACTCATGCAACTCCTTGGGCCTGTGCCTTCTTTCTGTATTGTGTTTACTTTTGTTCTTTTTCAAAGGCCGCTCCGCCCCTCACCACTTATAATTACAGTAAGCAAGTGCCTACTTAATGAAGTAAGGGCTAAGTAAGCTACTACGTACTGGACGCAGAATAGCTCACGCTTCTATTCTTTTGGTTCCTAAATGTTTTGGAAAAACTTAGCAACTACTGTCTACAACCCCAACCTGCCCACCTGACGTCTGCCTTGCTGAGCTGCGTCCTGCTGCCCATCTCCTCGCAGAGATCAGCAGTACAAACTAAGTCTACCAAAGAGATGAGAAAAGTAAACAAAGCAACGGCTGCCCCTGTCATCCCCTTTCCATCATGTAAGGGCAAGTTGGCAATGCACAAAGGTGTAGGCACTCTCCTGGAAATATAACTATCAGGACACGCTGCTCAAAACAAGCACATGTTGGCAGGGTCACCCTCTTCATCAGCGCCTTGTCTAGTCGAACCACTTCAGCCTCATCACGTCGGGACAAGGCAATGATCAGCTTGGCCAACTGCACTCGGAAGTCCAGCGACAACTCCTGCGACAGCTGATGAGCTACAACGCTAGATGAATAGCGGTCTCGTGACTAGCTGCAGATGGTGGTCCGTCAGTTGTCCTCTGGTCTACACTCAGAACGCAAGTGCTTGACGCAAGTCATCTTGCCGGCACTCAAAACCTTTCAAGAATTTCAATTGGTTGATCGTCCAGATTCAATCTTGTTGGATGGGAGCATCTAGCACACACGAAGCTTTCCGGCAAAGTCAATCACAAAAACCGCACCATCCGCAGAGTGAATCAGATTGGGCCGCTCTCGCTTGACTTTCTGGGCGCCTTCACTTGCCCAAAGTCGATCAGTCCCACACTATCATGAGCATCATGAAGAAGCCTGGCTGCTTGCGGCCACTTGGTTTGAATGCCGACTGGGCGGCGACTGGTTTTTGAGGCTTGAAGGAGGCACCTCACTGACGCACCTAGCAAGCATGTCATACTTAGCGTGTCGTTGAAATGGGTTTGAAGTGTTTTGAGGCCTTCTGAGACAGTGTGGGTGCAGGTCTGACTTCTACATGTCTTATCATCATGCCTGAAGGTAGGTTTTTGCGGGCTCATCCCGATTCAGGCCCATTTGCGGAGAACACCTCGCTCCAGCATGAGAACCTGGCTAGCTAAGTTCGCATTGGCTCTGTGCCGGGCCACATGACATTGCCAGGATGCGGGTCTGCATTGAAGAGCCCATCCACAAAGACTTGCTCCCCATGGATTCGCATGAGCCTTGGGTCCAAGATGGTGAGAAAATCTTCAGTCTGTGGGCCGCACGAATTAGACTTAAACTAATAGCTTCTTGTTACTACTAGTAAGGCACCTGTTACTACCAGC